TGCGCTGACGCTGCTCCATTGCCTCCATGGAGTTGTGCAAGCTGGAAACCTGTGTCCGCAACATATCCAGGACACCGAAGACGATCTCCTTGAAACTGCTGAAGTCTAGTCTCAACTTGGCTACAGTGTCCTTGTTCGCTGCCGCTACTGCCTGCTTCAGGCTGTCATCAAAGGCCTGTATCTTCTCCATCAGTGATTTCTCCAGACGGTGCTGGGTGTCCAAGAGAGTCTGGATGTCCTTTTCAGCCATTGTGGGATAGTGAGTGTGTTTACTGTGGGTAGATGTGTTGAACAAACTGGCCAGCAGGTAATAATCCTTGATAATGCTCTCATAAAGGTCTGATAACACTTGTGCTATTTTATGTAACCTTTAGCATATAAAATATATTGCAATTTATTAACTTAAGTTCTGATTTTAATTTTAATTAAATAAAAATATGAGGAGCCACTTGTTGCTTGTTTAACTTGCTACCCGCAAAAAAAAGTTTTGACCGTGTGATGCCGGCTTCAAATAGCATCCACCCAATTCTACCCGCGGATGTCGTTCAAAGCGACAAAGGGTTAATTCTACAGGGAATGAGCAGAAGCTTCTTGTGAATAAAATATCTTGCACTGCGCTCGCCAACCCGCTTGCCGAAGGTTGTGGGTATGGCAATACCCCCCGAGAACTTTTGAGTGGACCTAGTAGACTTTTGTGACTGTAAAGGTTGTCGACTAAAAGCGAGGACCTTAGAGCGAGGACAAAACAAAAAACTTTAATCCTAATAACAAAAGTTCGCAATTGAAATAAAATAAAAATCTCGTTGGCAGATTAATCTGAATATTCATGAACACAACTGAATGAAAAGCTCCATTGATCCTCAGTGACAGACAGACAGAATAATGAACTATTGTCGCAATAATCTAGCCTTCGACATCTAGTAGTGGGATCCTTTGGTACTATAAACAAGGTGTCAGGTTCGAATTCTAAAAATGTGTAACTATGATTCGGTAAAAGTACCGAAAATGTAGTCCATTCAAAATCATAGTGTCATGCATGACCAACATAAGCGGGAGACCAAGTAACTCTGGTCGGTCGCAATACTTAGATGCTACGCGACAAGCGTAACTTGGCCTCCCGCTTAGGTTGGTCATGTCACTTCATGACACTATGATTGCGAATAGACTGTACCTACATGTTTTTTTGGGTCGAAGTAGGTCCTAACCTAACCATTTTGATACGAAAACTGCCTGTTTCATGTCAGCAAAGAAAAATGAACCTCGTCTTACCACAGTCATAATCCACAACAGCCACAACAGTCTACTGCTGGACATGGGCCTTCCCTATATCGGGGATATCTACTGCCATACTCACCACGCATGGCAGGAGGATTGGCGAGCGCAGTACAAGATGTACAGGGGACGCTGCTGCCCATTCTAGGGATGAATGTACCTTACTAGCTTTTTACGACACACAGAATTGGCGTGATGTTATTTAAGCCGGCATCACACGGCTGCACTGTTATCATTCAGTTGTCAAATCAGGCTACTTAAGTTGGCTCTACTGCGCGTTTTACTCCCCCATTTTAATAGAATCGCCGTCTTATTAAGCGGGGCAAATCCTACAAGACTCTTAGGGAAATCCCCAATCAGCTCTCTTTGACTTATAGTTCCAACTAATTTCAGCTTTGAATCGCGTTGGATAGTAAACTTTAGTGCTATGATTATTCTGTTCATAGATTAAACGGTGCAGAGATTACGTATTCATACCTATCCATCCGTATTATTTATAACGGTAACGGTTACTGTTGCTTCCTATCCTTCCCATCTCGTTATTTATGTGCCATATATTTTTTAGGATAACTGTTTAATGAAATGGCGACTGCATTGGGCAGTTCACAAGACAAGTTTCTACCCTACAGTTGATTTTAAGGACACAATTCTACAATTTGGAGTGGTGAACTAGTTTTGGCTGACAATGACAGCGTACGCCGGTGATATCACCTACAAAAGCATTTCTAAAGAGGGTTGACTTCAGGCAGTAGGAGGCCGGTCATAAAACATAGCCAAAGCCTTTTGCAAATCATATGCTCGGACCCCAATTGATCTATCGTACGATGCATTCAAAAGGATAATCAAATTTATAATAAACTTAAGTCTTTCTTAAGACCTGAGAATTTTAATGTCAAATCGGGCCTCTTAAGTTGGCTCTACTGCACGTTTTACTCCCCCATTTTAATAGAATCGCCGTCTTATTAAGCGGGGCAAATCCTACAAGACTCTTAGTAAAATCCTCAATCAGCTCTCTTTGACTTATAGTTCCAACTAATTTCAGCATTGAATCGCGTTGGATAGTAAACTTTAGTGCTATGATTATTCTCTTCATAGATTGAACAACGCAGAGAGTACGTTTTGATACTTTCCATCCATATGGTTTATAGGTGTCGATTACTGTTGCTTCCTATCCTTCCCATCTCGTTATTTATGTGCCATATATTTTTTTTGATAACTGTTTAATGAAATGGCGACTGCATTGGGCAGTTCACAAGACAAGTTTCTACCCTACAGTCGATTTTAAGGAAACAATTCTACAATTTGGAGTGGTGAACTAGTTTTGGCTGACAATGACATCATACGCCGGTGATATCACCTACAAAAACATTTCTAAAGAGGGTTGACTTCAGGCAGTAGGAGGCCGGTCAAAAAACATAGCCAAAGCCTTTTGCTACATGATTTTGTGTTCACCAAATCATGTTGCGCGGACCCTAATTGATCCATCGTACGATGCATTCAAAAGGATAATCTTTATAATAAAATTTAGTCTTTCTTCTTTTTCTTAACACACAAAAATAAGACTTGAGAATTTTAATGTAAAATCGGGCCTCTTAAGTTGGCTCTAGTACACGTTTTACTCCCCCATTTTAATAGAATCGCCGTCTTATTAAGCGGGGCAAATCCTACAAGACTCTTAGTAAAATCCCCAATCAGCTCTCTTTGACTTATAGTTCCAACTAATTTCAGCTTCGAATCGCGTTGGATAGTAAACTTTAGTGCTATGATTATTCTGTTCACAGATTGAACAACGCAGAGAGTACATATTTACAGCTACCCTTCTATATGGTTTAATAGGTAAGTATTATATTTACTTCACTATTTTTTCTTTAAATCCTAGTGTTTTTTAAACTTCGCTGCTTTGGTTATTCTGTTCCATATTACATACATACTTTTATCACACCTATACCCCATGCTGGGTAGACAGAGCGTAAACGGCTGTAAAAAACGGCCATGTACACCACGTCTGACAAGAGTTTGAGAGTTATTTAAAAAACTGTGTATTACCGTAGTAGATTGTCAGCCTGTCGCCAAAAAAATATAATACACAGCAACTTTCAAATCCTTAGTTGCTTTTTACGACACCACACGACTTAGAAAGATCCTTATTCATACTTACCTATCTAAGTATATCATATGGCTAGGTACTCATTATCTTATCTACCTACTTTAGTTAATGTTGTATACTGCTAACTAAATATTATTCTGTTCATAAGTAGATGAAGTCGAATTTGAAAACTAAAAGCTCCGGCACAAATTAGGGAAACGGCGCGCGGGGCGTTCGGGCCTCCCGTACAGTTTGAATTTTATACTTCGACGTAAGTAGGTATGTTTATTAGAAAGTTACTATATCCTGGTTCATCATTTAAAATATTTGCATCAGCTTTTCACTCTCTGTATGTTTTTCTACCTGTCTTATCTCTGACTCAAGTATTGCATCATGTTTATGACGCAAGTTAATTAGCTTCCGTAGTGACTAGTGTAAATCAAGATTATATGTTAAAACACGATGATTTACAGCAAATGTAGTTAGCTCTTAAATGTCTTTATGAAAGGTTATGAATTTTTACTGTTGTAAGAGTATAAAAAACCTCATCTGAATAATATCATAAACAACTTAATGGAATTTGTCGAATTGGCTCAAATGCTTCTGAAAAACTTTAACCTACCCTTTAAAAGATCGAACTACCTAACCTACCCTTTAAAAATCCTGGTATATTTTCAATAACAGTTTTTACATTTAACCTAGTCGTCTTGAACCGAAATTGTATTTATTTGTTACAGTAATTATATTAGCAACTAAAATTTAAACCTCGGTACAGCAAATTTTGCTACGGTGGCATGAATCTGTACAACGCCCAAAGAGTCTAACTCGAGTTGAGTTCGACTGTACTTCCGGACCTCATTAGCCACTAGAAAACTCTTTAATCGTTTTATTTCTTTTGCAGGCTTCCCATCCTTCCCATCTCGTTATTTACGTGGCATATATTTTTTTGGACTACTGTTAAATGGAATGGCAACAGCATTAGGCAGTTCCCAAGACAAGCTTATAATCTAAAGTAGATTTTTACGACACGGGTAAAATTGGAGTGTAGGCTGGCATTGGCATTGTGATACCTACAATAGTATTTTCAAAGAGGGTTAACTTCAGGCAGGCGGCCGGTCATGAAACATAGCCAAATATTTTGCTACTAGATTTTTTATTCTAACAAATTATATATTTCACTGACCCCAAATTGATTAGGGATAAGGGCAAGGAGATGATGATGGCATCGTACGATGCATTCAAAAGACACATTTTCTTACAAACTTTAGTCTGCCTTCTTTTTCTTGATACAAAAATGTAACCTGAGAATGTTCCTGACAAGCTGTTAATAACAAGTGGCCCGACTTTTATTTATGTAAGCCATCTTTGGATTTATTTGCCGCTGCATGAAATAAATGCCTGTTTATATTATTTCCTTGCAAGCGGAAGTCTTTGGCAAACCCAGGGTTTTCCAGTTTGAAAAAGCTAAGCTTGTTAAAACTTAAAGCTAAGTCTGTGGGCAAGCTTGAATGCTTGTTTTTGTTCAAGTGCCTAATTATTTAAAAATACTTTCGACTGCATAATATCTTGTGTAACAAAAACCCTATATACGGTGGTTTACTGCTTATAGAAAATTGCTTTTTAAGAAAACTTGCAAAATTTTCACCGCAGGCAGGATTTGAACCAGCGACCTTCGCCATCAGCACTGGTGACGCCTCTACTAACTAGGCTACAGCGGTTTACTCCAAGACCGCGAATTAAGCAAGTGCATTTGACCACTAACGCGTGGTAGTGTTTTAAAATTTGGGTCTTCAGAAAGTTGCCTAAACTCATACGATTTCTGTCAAACTATTTGAATCATAGAAATCTGACCAGCTGTTTAGGCTGTAGCCCGTGACAAAAAATTTCTTGCCCAGATACATACCTACATAGTCACGAAACATACAATACAAAAGCTATAACCCTCCTACTTTAGGCAGGCGAGTAAATAATTCATAGTTATGATGTTGAGTAGTGTTAAATACTGTTGACCGCGTCGATCGTTTGAGCAGGGCTGTGAAAAATAATTGATTATTAAAATAATATATCTTTTTGTCTAGAACACAAAGTCGTCCAACGACACGACAAACCCTGGTGTAGAGATTTTTTCAACCTCTAACTACAAGTAGCAGGCCACACGAGTAATATAATAATCGACGTTTATTATTTCATAAAATCGATTTTTAATAGGTAGGTAATCGATTATGCAAGTTTTATATATCGTTTACTTAATTTCTTTGAAATATTTTGTCTCGGCGGTATGATCTTTATTTCCACCTTTGTCGAAGATTATACGATAAAAGTATGGAAATATTATTGTGTTAAATCAAGTAGGTAATATAAATATCTTAATAATCGATTATTTTTACATTCGATGATCTATTTAAATAAAACCGATTAATTCGTATTTTTTTGTGGCAAGAAATAATCGAACATATAATTATCGATTTTCCACCATTGTCACATCCCTGCGTTCGATCAAAATTCACGAAATATTTCGCAAAACCGCAACACGAATTCTATTCATGAGTTCCATTATCCCTCTATTAATTATCCTTGTGACCTGTCATCAGTTATTTGCAACTATTAATAAGTGATAATAGCTATTATGTTCGTGGTTTCATGAATCATTAGGTACCTATATTTCATCGAAATCGGGTCAGCTGTAGGCTGTAGGTACTTACTATAAATGACAAAATATTTAGGCTGACATTTTCTTCTTCTACTTCGAGTGGGAGAAATCATCCAACGACATGATAAACCCTGGTGTCAGAGTTTTTCAACCGCTTACTGCAAGTAGCCGGACTCTGAAATGGTTGTGTAACGACCGCCATATTATAAGTGATCATAGACAGCAACTGTAACCGAGGCACGGAACAATCTTGCTTTTCGGACAATACGCTGGTTCAGCTTGTAATGTTCAAGCTGAGGAATGCAGAAAGGGCTGGTGATAAAGAACAAATTTCCGCAAGGGAAGTCGAAATCAATAATATAATAATTTTGACCTTCTGTAGCAACTCAAATCAGCTAATCGAAAATTTTGCATTAGAGGTCCAATTATTTTCATAATTTTGATATAATGTTCCTTGCGGCAAGTTGTTCTTTATCACCACTGAATTTTCGCTATCCGCGGTCACTAGTACCTTAAATTTCATCCTATTAACTTTCGTAGTCATCTTGACTACCCACATTTTATGCATTCGTAAAAATATTAGATTACAGCTGACAACATAAATCAGGCTTTTGTTCCTAACGGGGTAAGCAGAGCAGAAATATTCTTTTACAGTCAAAGACACACAAAAATTCCGCAAGAAGTTCTTGGCAAATACTTAGTAGTTCTTCTTACGAAATGGCTTCATTTTTCAACCTCAACGTTTCTTGGAAGAAACGATTCTGAAAACCGAATTTACTTAAATATTACCTACCTAACATTAAGCAACTTAAATAATATTGTTAACGTAGAGACGCCGTGTGGTGCCGGCTTAGAATAGAATCAGCCCACATATTTTCCGTGGGTGTCGTAAAAAATGACTATGGGATTTGAGAATGATGTGTACTGTAATATTTGGCATTGGCAACAGGATGACTACCTGTCACTATGGTGATACATACTCTCCTCATTGACTCTCAGATGTGGTATAGATTAGATGTTTTTTACAGACGTTTACGCTTTGTCTACCCCGCAAAGGATATCGGCGTGATATATAAGGTGTAAAAAAAATCAACTGCAAATATTTTAAGGGAACCAGCCCGTGAAACTGAACATCTTTCCCCTAGGAACATAGGTCGAAATATGAAAATAAAATTGGACCTCCATACAAACTGACTCGGCCGGCTGGTACATTTTGTATGGGAGGTCCTGTAGGTTTACATCCTGTATAGTGTGAAATTTTACTAGTGACCGATAGCGAAATCTTAGAACCGGCTAGTGATAAGGAACAACTTTCTCCAAGGAAAATAGGTCGAAATATGAAAAAAAAATTCGGACTTCCCATACAAACTTGCCGATCAGCTGATTTCAGTTACTATGGGAGGTCCAAAATTTTTATTTCGTTTTTCGACCCATGTTCCTTTGGGAAAGTTGTTCCATATCACTAGCTGGTTCTGAGTTTTCGCTATCGGTCACTAGTAAAATTTCATCCCACCTGTAAAAACTATTATCGTCAACAGCTGGGAAGTGTCCACTGATGGACAAAGGCTACTTCAGGTACAATTAACTTTAAGCTCGACTACGTTAAACGGCCGCCATTACAAAATCTACCTACAGTTTATCTGCTAGTCTAAAATCTCACGTAACCCTCTGCGATGCTTGACCGCCACTTCAGAACTTTCCAACCCCATCAATCGTGCCTAAAAATATTTCACATTGGTACCTAAATTCAAAAACTTTTGACGGGGAGCATTTGTTAGACACAACTCAAGGTTTAACCCAAAAACTTTCACATTTACAATATTAGACGGATCGTGCGTAAGAATTGAGCCTTGTTTTAACCCTAGACGCAATAAATAGGGAAGAGTGAGCAAAAAAAAATAAGCAAAGAAGCCAGAAAATATTGGCATGTTCTGGAAAATAATGTGCGTGTTTTGGTGCCTGGTACCAAGCATGGTGGGTGGCATCAACATAAAGTTTCGTTTACACTAGCTGGAATAAAATGAGTAGCTTTAAGTCAGTACAACGAGTAGCTTACAATGAGTAGCTTAAAGTTGGTTACAATATCTGGAAAAGCGAGTAAGTGGCCTGGCCGTTATTTGGCGAAGAATGGCATAGTAGTTATCAATTTTTCCTCTACCTGAAGGTTGTCTGGTAGAAATAGCTACCTAGCTATAAGACCGCCTGCATTGTACACATTGTTTTATTTCTGTTTGTCTATTTCATGGTTTATGTGCAATAAAGAATATTTATATTAATATGTTATAGGAGCGATTATAAAGTTATGTGGTTAGGCGAGGTGATGGCAGTTGGAGCTATCTCGAAGATGAAAAGTGGAGCAAAGTCTGTTCGAGTAGTGGGAAAATAAATGACGGAGAAGCGCAGACCTTTCCGGAGCTTGTTGGGATAACGACGTAGTGAAGATTATCAGCAAAACCTGGAAAAACCTGGCTCAGAGTGGGGATATATATCACGAGAGTGACAAGGCCATCATCCAGCAGTGGGTGGATAAGGCCTTTAATGATAATGGGTTAATTTTATTATGAAAAGTTATACATTACTTACTACTTGTCTTTTGAGTAGAGAGATACCGGAATTTTGTCTTCACTTAATCAGTTCACGTTGCTCTATAGCCCATATTATTTCATCTTAGATTTTACAAAGATGAAGATAATACCGTCGGATCCTATGTAACGTACCTGTCAGGTTGGAGTGATGAGGGTCCGGAATGAGCGGAAAGATATAAAGTGGCAAGTTTCAGCCTTTTCATCACTAGTAGCCAGACGTTGCTGAAGTGGGATGGGATGAATTCGTTATAAAAGTTCAATGTCATGGTCTATTCCTGACTCTCAATGAGTGATGATACTTACTTGATTTCATGAATTTGAAACATTGATAAACAAACTGATAGCTTATTGCAGGTGGCTTTGACGCGATTTTGCCGTATTGCCAGTAACTGGACTTACACATTGACAAAATTTTGACCAACTGAATAACTGAAAAAAAAACCTACCTCAAGAGCCAACATGCAAAAATAAGTAGTAACAAGCGATCGTATAGCTTGTACAACTAAAATCAATAAGTTCGGAAATAAGAGGCATCTTTGGATCAAAAGTGAACGGACAGTCGGGTCTTGATGATAATGATGATGATGATTGTTGAAATATTTCGACATCAGTCATTATCATCACACATCAGTCTATAGGAACTAGGGACCCACTGAAGTACGTATGCCTCCCATAATGACATTTGATGGCAAATCATACATACATAGGTATATCACGCTTCTATCGGCTGTAAAATCGCCATTTACACCTCGTCTTACAAAAGTTTGAGTAATTCAGAAAACTGCGTATTACCACAGTGACAAGTTTTCAGCCTGTAGTCTTAAATTGCAAAACACATCCACTCTCAATCTTACGACATCTACGGGAAAGACATGGGGTTATTCTATTCTAAGCCAGACACCACACGGCAAATCATAGTCAACTATATTCCAGGTTCTCTATACAAAAAACATCTCAGTTGTCAAAGCAGCCATAACCCATTAAGATTCAATATAAAGGCTTTATCTCGAAAAAACGGGCCATATCAACCCCATAATCACCCAATAACGACCTTATATCGGTGCAGTATAATCACACGGTGTGGTTTTATGGTTTATGGTAGAGATGCGAAAAAATACCGATTATCAAAGAAAAGCCTATTTCGTATACTATCCGTTTTGCAGAAGAAAGGTAATATAAATGGCGGAGTTTCTATAAGTGGAAAGGAGTAAGCATGAACACCTTGTATATGTAAGAGCCTTAGTGCGAGTGATAAAGCATGACCTCCAGCCGCCATTTAGGGCCCTTTTCCTGTCATGCGTATTTTCACACGCGCGCGGTTCTGGTCCGCATGCGGGCCGCACGCATCTTGTCTTTTGATACATTTTTTTATGTTTTTCCTATCATGCGGCTAGCACGCGCGCGAAACAGGAGCATGCTATCATCCGCATGCGGGCCAGAACCGCGCGCGTGTTAAAATACGCATGACAGGAAAAGGGCCCTT